GTCCTCGGTCTTGACGAAGAAATAGTAGAGCCAGAAGTGACGATTCGCTTTATTGTCCATCTTCACCAAACTCTTACTTCCTCGGTGGCGAAGATGCAACATCATCCCCCTATAGAAACTAGGGGCGAAGAGATGCATCAGGTGGCGAAGAGAGACCCCACGGCCAGCCAACTCCGCATATTTCGTCAACATGCAGATATGCTTATAGACGTAGGGGGAAAGTTGAGTCGGGCGACGCCGTAGTAGCAACAAAACTCCTCCTCCAATGGGACAAGAGGAAAGGAATAACCTACATAGAACGGGTACGCGTAGAACGAGCAATAACTCGGGTGATGTATCTGTACCACATCGCACCCCGCCGGAATCAGATCGTTGTGAGCCGGGATTTTGAACTTTTCCCTGAACTCGGCAAGGTAGGTCTCATTCATCATCGACTCTGAGGCCTCTGAATCGTCTTCAGTCAATTTCAAAAAATCAGATCTATTATCACTGCGAGGAATTATTTCATCTACTGTAGGAAAACTCTCATCTTCAAGGGAAATGGAGACATCGTCGTCGTGAGGAGGTATACGCACCGCCAAAGGGGTAGGACCAGCCATCGTACGATAACCAGAAGGTGCGTTAACCATATTCTTGAGAAATAAGGTTTTAAACGCAGAAGGGTTGAAAATAGTAAGAATCACTAAAACTACTAAGGAGCATCGAACAATGAGGGGAGAAAAAGATACAAAGTATGCTGAGTGTCAGAGGATTCGTAAATGTTAAAGCGTTGCCCACGCATCCCTATTTATAAGGATATATGCATCAAAACTGAGAAATCATGCCATCATTACCCATCGCAAGTATTGATACGTCAGAGGCGCAGGAAACGACGCAAGACGTCGGGAAAACGTGTCATAATGACGCATGATATCGTGACGTCAATCTGAAACAATGCATCCCCAAAGTTTGCATCTCACGAAGAGTCATGTTGCCACCTCGCCTAAAACACCGCTACCCAGCTCGCTCGCCTCGTTTCGTCGACTACGACATACGGAGTCCGCTCACTAAGGCCGTCTGAGCTCGACCTTAATAAGCGGAGGGACTAATTGTATAGGCCAAAATCCATCTTCAGAATATTTAGCGTAATATGACATTAAAGAAAGTTATCGGTCGAGCTCACCCAAAACACAGCGAGGTCAATAGCCGAGGTGCCGACATGAGTTGTGGTCGAGTTATCGACGGTTGTTGCAATCAAGTTGTCAGCAAGGGTCGGGGTCGAGCTCGACTGTTGATGATAGGACTTGTAACGGCTAATTCGTCAAGATAGGGTACTAAAAGATAGTATTCTAGTGGATATTACCTGCATTTTGTATTATTAGGGTTCCCTAGGAAAAAGACCCCATATAGATAGAAATAAGGGGCATGTAAAGAACACTTTTGAGAAGGAGACTTCCCCTATTACAAAAACACAAAGATTACCTTTTTATAAGTTTCTTATTGATATTGTTCCCCACTTTTCCATCAGACTCGAAGACCTTTTTACAAAGTTTCTTATTGATATTGCTCCCTACTTTTTCATTAGACTCGAAGACCGTTCATGCAAAACTTAGATTTATCTGTCATTCATCACTATCAGACAAATTATTCATTCAACCCATCCATTATTGGGTGAATCATTCTCCCTATTTACTTAAATGCCATTTATTGACATTTATTGTTAGTTATATGTTCCTTAATATTCTTGCTTTAAGTGTATCCTATATTTATTGCCACCAGTCATATACAGAATCTGTCCCAACTAACATACATCTTAGTGCTTAAGTATCTAGAGTTATTATCCTTGACTATATTTAATCCCTCACTATATAAATTTAATAGTAAACCAGAAATTATATATTTCGGTCAAACACTTTGTGAACTGAAAACTTCAAAAACTTTAAAAAATACTCTATAATTATTTTTGGAATTTGAAGATTCTGTTTTCAAAATCTTCCAAAAAGTGATTAAAATATATAAACAAACATATTTGAAAAGAACGAGAGGGAAGACCAAGCAAGCATCTTTGTTCAAAATGGTATATGCTGAGTTGTAATTGCTATATGGAGGGAAAGAAACACTAGAGTCCACGAGAATACTAAGAAGACATGTGATTTCATAGCCAAAGAAATAGCATGAGGGATTGGAGCTACGTGGAAACGGAAACCCTCCATAGGAGTTGTGACATATCTCCCTATCAAAGCAGATGATTATCCTTTGAAGGGTTGATTAGAAACATGAAGATATAGATCGGCATGACTGAGTAAGTCTAACTGGGTTTTGTATTTCTTGCATTGATAATTAATAAAATTGTCCATAGTTACCAAAAAAATATATTCACAAACAAAATAAAAAAAAAACTCCCATATTCAATGCCCAAACGGGAGCTTAGTAGGCGTTTGGACATAAGAATTGTAAAATTCCAAAAAATGGTGAATTTTTTTTTAAAGTGAAAATAGTATTTGAAATTTAGAGTTGTGTTTTGACATAAATTTCAGTTTGGGTTGATTTTGAAGTTTTGTGAGTGATTTGAGTCAAACTTTTGAAAAATAGTTTTTTGGAGTTTTTCAAATTTTCGAAAATTTCCAAAATGTATCTTCGAGTGAAAATTAAAATTTTTATGAACAAGCGCCGATTTCGAAAAAAAGTAAATTTTTTTTGAAAAAAGAAAAAAATATTTTATGTCCAAACGGGCTCTTAGCTAGCGTTTGACCATAGATTTCCAAATTTATTCTGAAAAATCTGATTTGGATGAAGTTTGGTTTGAAGATGAAAATGTGTTTGAAAATCTGTTTTGGGGTGACGTTTGGTTTGGAAAAATATGAAACATGACTTATACCAATAAATTTTAAAAACTATCACAAATACCCAACAGTACCATTATCAATAACATTCATTATATTATCGCAAACCATAGTCCTGAACATAAATAAATTTGATACAAAATTATCATTTTATAATGAACTACATGATACACTATCAGATGGCCGAGAAGACGAAGCAACATCGTTACAAAATAATAAATGGTGGGCTCTTTTATAAAATACAAAAGTTTGGGGCAATTTTTAAAAAATATAATAGTGATATTTTGGCCCCAAACCAACTATTGAGCTGATTTTGGGTTTTGGGATTTGGCCAAAATGTAGGCAAAATCTATGGCCAAACATGTGTTTGCCAAATAAAATCCAAATTTATTTTGGCAAAATTTATGACCAAACGGGTCCTTAATATATGTGAAAATTTCTCATTCTTCTGTCTCGCATAACTTCTGAATAACATCATAATCCGTTTGTGAAAGTTATGAGCCACTAGCTTGTTTTTACATAAAATTCTTAAATGGAGAGTCTTAAATTGTATTATTTTTTGCAAATAACCCTCTATTTTATGTGTGGTTCTAAGTCGTATAAATAGTGTCGGATGTCCAATTTTTCATTCTAATTTGGTCATGCATTCAGGCTTAGAAATTTGAAATAATATTTGGAGATTTTCAGGATAAGTATTTATTTATAAATTTATTTTTAACTTTAAACTTTAAATATATAATATGAAATTTGGTGTGGAAAATAAAATTTGAAAAAAGGAAAACAATTTTAAAAGTTTTCACTCACAACTGTTTAAACACAGGAAATTTTCAAACTCTTATGTAATTTCAACCGGTAAGAGTACCTAGTTTCAAATATTGTCTACATTTAACTTCTGTTATACTATCAGACTAAATTTACCTCTACCATTATACTATCGGGTCAAATTTACCCCTACAATCAGTAAAATTTTAAAAATTACCCCTCAGTCCGTCAGGCGACCCAAAATCTCCCAAATCATTACAGATTCTGCTCCTTGATCCACTATTTTTAAAATAATTGGCATTTACCTGCTATCTGAATTGGAGAAAAAATAAGAGAAAATAATATTAAATAATACAACAGTTAATAAACAAAGTATAGTTATTTAAAAAAATCTAAAATAGGTAGCTTGTCTAAATTCTAAAAGTATTTACAACATCCTAATTTTAATGAATTCGTTGCACCAAATGTATGTGGACTTTGCAAGTATTATTGATTGAAGTTGAAGTTCCTCGGAGACTTTACATTGTCGAAATCAACTTTGCTTTAATCAAACGCCTACACATTGTGCACTCTTAAGTTAGTCGATCAAACTCTATACTAACAAGACAATGACAAAATGTATTTGAATATAATATATGTACATACATGATGAGCAGCTGCATATAATTCACAATAAATAGTTCCACTAAATTCTACAGTGTGTATATGGTTGAAAAATAAATAAAAATTTAAACCAATTTCAAACACAGTATTACAAGAAGAAAAGTGGGTGCATTGGTAATTAAAAAAAATCATGAATAATTTGTATAGTCTAGTAACTTTAGCATTCACATCAATAGTAATCTCTAAAAATAATGGAGCAAGAAGAACAACAAGTGATTTAAATAAAAGTAATTTGGGAGATTTTGAATTACTTAATACATCAAAGGGTAATTTTTAAATGTTTGCTGATGATATGATAAATTTGGTCGCATAGTATAACGATAGGGGTAAATTTGGCCGGATAGTATAACGAAAGTGAAATGTAGACAATATTCGAAAGTAGAGGGGTATATTTGCCCCCTTTTCCTTTTTTCTAAGAGCCTGTTTGGACATAAGAATTTGTTAAACCTTTTTTCGAAATCAATGGCCATAAAAATTTTAATTTTTGCTTGAAGATGAATTTTGACATTTTTCGAAAATTTAAAAAACTCTAAAAAGTTATTTTTTAAAATTTTTACTCAGATCAATCACAAAAATTCAAAACAACCCAAAATTTTATTCATATCCAAACACAACTCTAATTTTTAAATAACATTTTTAAAAAATGTTCACTTTTTTTTTTTAATTTTACAATTCTTATGTCCAAACCCGCCCACTAAGTCTCAACCAACTCATGTCCAAAGGAAAACCTATGCCTCTAAAGGGGTACAAAGGTCCACGTTCGACCTCTCTTTGTTGTTGGAAGAGAAAAAGAAAGCTCCCTTTATTACTTCTATATACATATATTCTGTTCTTTGGGAGTAAAAGATAGTTTCCCGCCGGGAAGAAGGTGAAATGAGAATAGGGAGGGCCTAGGAGTTAGGACTGTCCGGAAATGGAGAAGTGCAAGGAGGGGCGAAAGCTGATGAAAGAGACGGTAATAAGTGATAGTACCTTTGATGATCTCCATTCGTATTCCGACGACGACGGCGAGAACCGTTTTCAACCCGATAACCTTGACGACGATGAAACAACGCACCATTTGGAATATTCAGAGCAGATATGCTCCTCCAGTGTTAAGAAGAGGAGACTGACGCAGACGAATCTATTCCAGTTGTGGGGCCTTGAGAATCCTGCTGACCATGGCAAGAGCAAGAACGTCACGCAGACGAATCTATTCCAGCTGTGGGGCTTTGAGAATCCTGGAAAGAGCAAGAGCGTCCAAAAGGCCACTACTTCTCTTGCTTCCTGCAAAAGCCAACGCGTTTGCCCCTTCTATAAGAGGATTCCGGGTCTGTTCACAACCCTAGCCCTCCTCCATTTTCCATTGTATTCCTGTCTCATCCTTAATTCTTCTTGGACCCTCCTTAAATTCTGCTAATATTTTCTTTTCCTTTTCTTCAAATCTCTCTTAGATTAAGCGTGCCCTCGTATTGAGCAAAAGATGCATTCTTTCAGGCTACTAATCTTTTACACATCCAGTGCACTATTGCTGATTGATCAGTAAACACAGGATCTATAAGCTTCGTGGGAATTTCCTTTTGAACGTCAACTTCTTAATAATGACTCATTCTGAAATCTCTAGTTAGATAACATTAAAAAAAAAAAAAAGGGGTGTGTGTGTGTGT